TCTGTCCAACAGCGCAGAAAGCGCAGAGCCATGAGCTCGAGACCCAGCCCCTGACCCTTAAAAGCCCTTATGCTGCAAGAAGCCCGGCCACTCAAGCTTAGGTTCGAGCCATGGTTCCCAAAAGGTGTTCCGAAAAAACCCGAATTCCCGAAAGGTGTTCCGAAAAAACCCGAAACACGAAACCCTAAACCCCAAAACGAGGAGTCCATTTTGCTTTAGTTTCCACTAAGACGTTGACAACCGCTCAGGGCGGCGTCGATTTGCACCTATCCGCCATGGCCTGAGAAGTCGCCGGAAGGAAACCAACCGAGCAAGGCCTCAAGGTCAAGAGTTTAGGGTTTAGGGTTTATGAGTTAAGAACTTGGCATATAAGGTTTTTCTGCCCCAGGCTCTGTTAGTCTTCTTGGGGGCAGTTACTTCCAAATTCCGCTGTGCCAATAGCCTGAATCCCAAGGATACGCCTTGTTGACTCTATTGTTTGGTAGGCACTTCTTCGAGAAGTGCCGTTGGACTCTATCCCGCAACCTTGTCATTTGCATTCCTCAAGCACCTCAACTTTTGACGAGTTGCCTTGGTATTGGTCCAGGTATTGAGGCACGGAGACGTAGGCCTTCACCATTGCCCGGTCCCGTGCACATGGTTGTTCGCTGCTCCTAATTTTGGGAGCTTGGAGACCCTGGCCGCCCCGGAGTTAAGGCTTACATGTCTCACCCAAACGCTTTCTGCCTGCCCTGGCGGGATGAAGTACTTTTTCTAGTTCTACGCACTTAAGATCTTGCTTTGCTGAGGAACTCGTTTCTACCGTTGGTTCGAGTGTTTTAAATGATATAGACTGACAAAGCGGATCAAAGAGGTCAACTACGGGGTGTATACGAGCATCGCATATGGTCTGCACAGATGGTAGTCTATGCAGTTGACATGTCATGGCATCGTTGCGGGAGATTGAAATGCAGAAATGACAAAGGCAGCCGAAGTGGGCCAAATACAAGCTGATTCTACCACGTTCTACATGCGCATACAGCAGAATTCGGAAGTGCTGATAAGCCTAGGGCCTACCACGAGCCTCAGGAGCGTTGAATAAAGCAGCCTGAGATACTCGGTTTTCACTCGTGCAGGAATCTGGCTGCATTTGCTGGTCTGACAACAACAGCTTTCGGAATGTGCCGTGCAATACATCCTCGAGAGACTTCAAAGCCCTAAACCCTAAACCCCTAAACCCCTGCAACCCCTAAAGCTTAAACTTAGCAGCAAGAGGCAGTACTCCGAGGTTCCGCTGCGCGGCCTGTGGGACTTGCAAAGCCAAAGCAGGCCGCAGCACCCGCTGCAGATGCAGCAGGCGCGGCTCGGGGTTTAGTGTTTAGGGTTTAGGGGTTTAGGGTTTTGGGGTTTTGGGGTTTAGGGGTTTAGGGGTTTAGGGTTTGGGGTTTGGGGTTTGGGGTTTAGGTTGGTGGTTTGGAGGTTGGGAACGTAAATACAAGTTTCTTAAGCACAAGCCCATGCCAAGATTAAAACCGAGGAATGAGGGAGCCCCCTTTTAACAAAGCATAGTGCTTAAAATAAGCCCGTGACCCCACAATGACCTTGAACCTCAAACTTAAACCAAGCCCTGAACGCCTTAAACCCTAAACCTGTAGACCTGAAACCTTCAGGTGGCGCTGCAACCTCCCGGCCCAGCAGGGCAAGGCAAAAGGGTTTGGGGTGTAAAAGCCTTTAGACTGAATTTTTGGGTTCGAGGGCTGAGGTTCAGGGTGGAGGGCCTGGGCTTATGGGGCTTTGGGGTTGAGGGGCTGAGGCCTTCAACTTTCGAGCTGTCGAGCTTTAGGCTTGAGGGTTCAAGGAATAGGATTTCGGAACGCAGCAGCGACAAGGAAATTCAACGACAAACCCATGAGAAGTCCCACGCGATGCTTGTTCTGCCCCGATGACGTACAGCGTCTAGTCTATCATTTTTTTCGCTGAACCTAGCAGGTGCCGACATGCCAACGAGACGCGGCACGGGCCGCATGTAATTTGCGCGGATTGCGGCGAGGACTCACCGAAAAGAAGGGTCCAGGGAGTTGGACATTAAAACGCTGTCGACGACCTCTGAGCTCAACGACCTCTCCACTCCAAGAGCTTCAGGCTTATAGTTTGCTGGCACAAGTTTCGGCCTAGGAAGGCATCGCTCACCGTAACTCTTATTTTTCGGAGCAAGAGCAGGACGATGCACCTGAAGGGAGGGCGGTTGAGTGTTTGGGGTCTTGCCTGCAGCTTGAGTCCTGCGATGCAACCCCAAGCCGTTTATCCTTCTTGGATTTGTCTTGCCTGTAAAAACCCCAGCTAGCCTGGGGCAGTAGAGTACTCTGTGGTCTGTCACTGTTTGGGGTCAATGCTGGCATGAGTTGTTGTCCTTCGCATCATGTGCGTGGTAAGTTATCTTCGCAGTGTCCTATATGATCCTCCATCAATTCCTAGATCAATGTCATATTCTAACCGTGGTCCTCCACCAACTACTAATTATATTCTACTAAAGTCCATTGTATGCTGCTCTATTCGAATATGAGTGGAGCACAGTACATAATATTAGTAGGGCGCATCTCTTTTTCCGCGCAGGAGCTTCGCTTCGACGCCTGGCGACTGGAGCTCGTGGACGACATGGATCTGTACCCCGGGCTTCGGCTTTGGGGCCTTAGCTTCGGGTAGCTTATGCTACAGGCTAGCCAATGCGTCCCAGCTGTCTGGGCTAGGGCTATACGATAGTTATAACAGGGAGCCTTTGTTAAGTTGGGGCGTTCGGGCTTTGGGTTTTGGTTTAGGGTGTCGTCTTGGGGTTTGGAGTTGTGGGGCTTTGGCAAGTTGAGTTTAGCAGTGAGGACTTACGTGATTTACAAATTGCTCCTTTATTTTGCTGGCTGCTGTATGCAGCTTTTGTCGAGCCGTGAGGCTCAAGGTCTTGAAGTTTGCAGTCCGTTCTGTTCGCAGCTTCCACGGAGCTGTGGTTTGGCTTTGTGTCGCGCACAACCGTCTTGATCGGTAATACCCAAATTACATGTGGTAAGCATTGCCAAAGTACGTAACTTTGGCGCTGCAAAGCAATCATGGCAGTTGTTGGATACTTGCGTTGGTTATTGGGTAAAGGCTAGGCATAGATGCTTGGAGTAGCAGTGTCTTGGGCCACCACACTCTTGTCGCTTCGTTTGGGTAGTATATGTTCCAGTGCTCCCGCCACCAATTCACGGTCGAGTTTGGAAAGAATGACTTTTATTCCTCGCCCAGTCCCCAAATCCCAGGCAGTCGGTTTGAGGAGCTGATTCTCACCATGCTTTCCAACGTGGCGGCCGCCGTTCAGCCGCTCGAGATGGAGTTGCGCCGCCGGAGAACACCCGGACCCAGGAGATGTCTCATGGAAGTCGGCTGACCTGCTGGACACCTTTGCTTGAAGAAGGTGCGACTGGTAGCCCGGCAGAGGGCAGCCGGGCAGATGCCGACAGAAGCGAGGTTGTCACTTCGGCCAGCAGTGAGAGATTCTTTCCCAGCAGTGAGGCGAAGGTGGGCACTCGCAACAATTGGTCCTCTGGGGCGATTTGTCGCAAAAGCTCCGCAGCAGCAACTCTGAGATCGCAGGCGCAAGAAGCAGAGATCGTGGCTCGACCGAAGTGATGGTGTGGATGTGCTGTTTCAGCGCAGAGCTGGGTGCCTGGCGACGAGTTCGATTTCCGACGACCGGTTCGCATTGAAAGCACTGCGTCGCAGTCAACGCAATAAGGGTCTATGATCATCTGTGCAGTTGTGCTCCGAAAAAAGCATGGGCCAATGAAATCCAAAGCAAGTGGCAGGCATTCACCAAGTCATGTGCGCCAAAATCTGACTCCCTTCTTGATAAATCCTGAGGTCTGAAATTCCACAGAAACCCCTGGTTGTAGAAAAAGAGCAACAGAGAGTGAGTCATGTTCTTGCTCGGGAATGAATTTGGCAGAATATGATGTAATATGTTGGAGTATGTGACTGTGTATTTATGTCTATATATATATATACATACATACATACATACACATTGGATATCTAGAGGCATATTTGTTATCTATACATATACATGTAATTACAAAAATGTACATAGGCCCGAAGTCCTCGAGCTGTGGCTCAATGGATTTACATGCAAAGGCCAGCCCCAAGCTGTTACTAGTGTAGTAGTACGACTATGACTGCGACTACTGCGACGACGACGACGACGACTGCGACGACGAGGACGACGACTGCAACTGCTACTGTTACTCCTGCTCATACTCCAACACCTACACCACCTCTTCCTACTACTACTCCTCCTCCTGGTGCTGCTGCTGTTGCTGCTTCTTCTAGTACGACTACTACGATGGCGATAACTACTACTCATGCTGCCGCTGCTTGTAATAGTAGAAGTACGTGTGACAGCACCAGAACGAATACAAGCTACAAGTAGGAGGAGGTGTAGGACGTAGGTATGCGATTGTAGCCGGTGGCATCGTCGTTCTTGGTGCTGCTCCCATCGGTGGCATTTCCATCATGACATCCTTTCTATCAGTCTTGAGTGACACCACGTTCATGACCCTTACAGTTACGATGTTGAGCCCTACTTATGCCACTGTCGGTGATGTTTCTTGGCTTATGACGATACGGCGGTGCCACGAACTACTGGCAGTAGCATTCTCAGAGAAAGTGCTGGCGGCGCTGCTGTCAGATGGGATGTCTGCCTTATTGCTGCTGCTGATGGCGGTGATGATGATGATGATGATGATGACCGTCCAATCATGGTGGTGGTCGTTGCCATGAATATTCAGGCCCTTTGTGTCGGGCTCTTGGGTTCAGCTAAGTGTTCATTGCTGATTTTCGGGTCTGCAGACATGCACTATAAGCGGCTGCAGCTCTAGGCCGTGATAGATGTTCAAAGCATGGAGAAAACTTCGGCACCTGCCTTGCAATCCCGACAGCGCGAACGAGCTCAAACGCGGCCCCTCCAGTGACCGAGAGAACCAAAGCGTGCGGCCATGGCACTCCGCCAGCACTGAGAAGCAATTTCATACGTCGTGTTCTATGGTTTCCTCGGCCGAGTTTGGCCCAGGGTTTTTGCAGACAGACACTAATTGCCCCCAAGTGTGTACTAATCACGGGTTCACTCGTTTCTGGATATGGATGAGGATTCAGAACAAGACGAAGTATTATGATGACTGCGGGCATGCAACGTTTGTTTTTGGCGGCATTGTGTCAGGCTTCGGGAAAGAGGTTGTGAGACTCAGTGGATGACTAGGTCACAGGGTATTTGCTGAAGGCCATTGCCAGTGGCGAAGTTGTCTTCCTTCAACTCGAGCTTGTGGTGCTTTAAGCACCGGTAGATCCTGTGGTGCCCAATTCTGCCAGTAGCTGCCAAAGTTGAAGTCCGTAAGAGATGGTGATGTCTTTGCCTTCTCGGCTAACTCCCGGAGCCAAAGCAACCGGAAGCCAGGCCACATACGCCCTCAGCCCCAAATTCTCAGAGCCCGAGCCCCTGGCCCCCGGTAGCTGGAGGCGTGGACCGTTTGGGTAGTTCCGCTGCTACAACTAACGAGCAGCCGCGCAGGCCTGCCGTGCTGCGATGTAAGGATCAACATAATCATGAAGCCAGCAATGCCAAATCTCGGAGCCATGAAATGGACTTCACATCCACACGACTGTACTAATATGGCCTCATGTTTGGGGCTTCTTGCCACGTTACCCTTCCGCCTTCCTCCTTCGCTACCCACCTCTCCATACCAGGCCTAACTTCCGCCTGTAGCTCTCTCTACAACAATGAAATCGTTTTCTAGCTTCCGGGCAATAAGAGGCGTCCCAAGACGAAGCTTCGAGTTTGCAAGCGGGGATGGGATCGGGCTTTGGCACCCTTGCCAAAAGGAGACCACTTGTTGAGTAGCCTTGGTGTTATCATTGCCTCCCAAGCCCAGGTTTTAATAGAGGACTTTCGACCCCAACCGTAGCAGAGACATGTGCTGATGCAGCAGATTCAGATTCAGTAGGTGTCGAGGTTAGGGCAGACTTGAAGGTTGTCATGTCGAGACACCCTACACCCTCTCATGCTTTTCACCTCTAACCCTCAGCACTCAGCACTACAATCCGTCACCAGGGGAGGCAACCTCTGGCTGCGCGGCTTTGCTGCAGGCACATCACTTCCAGACGCCATACGCTGCAAGCTTCTCAGGGAGTACTGCCATGGGATGAATCCAAAGCCCTCGCAAGCCCCCAAGCAATTTGCACTCTAAATCTTTGAAAATCCTATAAAGAGAATAAAATATAATACATAATCCCGAACCGGAGTCTTGAATCCTCGTTGCGAAGCCTAACCAGCCTAACCGGCCTAACCGTTGCTGACACTGAGGGCCCAACCACCAGCTTGTAGCTGACTTTGCACGCTTCTTGAATGTCACAGGAGTGTAGCTGTTTGGGCACCTCTTTTTTTCAAGGTTTGCCAACCTAAACCTTTCAGACTCATGCCAGGGGCAGCGTTACTCGTGCTGCTGCATGTGTTGTTTCCCTTCTTCATCACTCGCTATCCCGTTTGTCCGCTTACTGATCGTTTTCGTGTCTGTCAACTCTCTCTGCATCTTATCTCTGCCAGGCCCAGGTCAACTCGAAAGAGGAATGATGTTCACTGACGCAGCGGCATTCTGTCTTTCAGGCCGCGGAGAGCGGCGACGACATCACATTTGCATTGCACTGCCGATCTCACTTCAGCGTCGCGGCTTGCACCAAGCGTAGGGATTTCCTCGACTTAATTCGGCAATGAACCGCATAATTCCCGGAGCAGGGAGGGATCCTGGGCAGTTGCAACCAAGGGCTAAAGATGCAGACGGAAGCCGAAGATGTTACATCTCTTAGGCCTTCCAACATCGCACAGACCTGAATAGGATCTCCTATGTGCCCGGAACTCGAAAAGCAACACAGACAAGAGTTGGAGCTTGCTCGAAAGTCTTGGAATACTCGTCACCTGAGGCAGTAAAGTACGACTGGGAATGGAAGTCTGCTCGCTGTGGGGATCGACAGGTGAGTTGTATTCCAACGCTTCAAAGGGTGGGTGCGAAAGGACATGAGAGGACATCGTGAATGTATGCTAGCAGCCACACCAAGCCGCAACGACGTGGCACTGTAGTAAAGCTGAACTGATGGTAGAAGCAATTTTTAGTGTGAGCAAATGCAATGACAATGATGCATGGTCATGATATCGACTGGTAGATTAGTGGACGTCGTTGCCGGCATCAGCTCAAAAAGTAGCGGCCTGCTAGCGGCTTTTGCAAAAGACGGCAAACAGCTGTCACACTGTGGCAACATGAGTGGGCACATGGCACGTAGATGGTGATTCGTAGCTTATGTGTTGTGCGCGTGAAACACAACCCAGCGCAGCAAGCACCAGAAGCTCTTTGTCAGTCGTAAGTATTAGGATCTGTTCTGGCTGCGTAGCGAAGTTCATCAATCCGGGAGAAGGAGCATATTCGTCTGGACGTACTTTCCAGAGCATGCGAACGACATTTTCCATGCACAGCAAACCCTACCCCAAAGTCGGAAATCATCGGTGCCTTAGACCCCTCAGCTGCGCAAGCCTTTCTATGAAGAAGGCACGGAACCTCGCAAGTACGGCTCAGATTTAAGCTCCTACACTGACTTCTGCTGCAGTTTGCCCTTGCATATCCCTATTCTGCTAATTCAATTAAGTTTCAATGCTCGTGAGGCCCGAAGGACTGCGACGCCGTTCGGCGATCCCTCGGCGATCGGCCTTGGAATTCGGAGAGCACGAAGCCCAGCCTTCGGCAGGGTTTTTTTTAAAGATTTCCGGTTGTAAGGTCCAGGGCCCTGCAGCTTAGGAGTTTGCTTCAGCGAAGTCTTGAGGTCCAAACTGACAACAGGGCGCAGTACCAAGGGCCAGGTCCTGCTGTTTTCGTGCGACGGGGCAGGGTGCAGGGTGTTGGGGAAGAGGATCCTCGGTGCTTTTGTTTGACCCATTACACAGGCCATGCTACAGGGGTCACGCCTCGTCAACCCTGTCCCAACCACACGCCCACTTCCCGAAGAGCAAGAGCGCCCAAAGCCGCAACCTTCAGCATCTGAAATATGCCAAACCACGTTTAACAGCCCGAAGGTTCTGGAGATGTTGTAGTCCTGAGCCGCGGAGTCGATTCAACTGTCAGTTTCTTCGACCCCGCACGCTGACCGCCCAAAGCCGTAACTTCGTGAAGACTGGCACTGGGACGCTCTCAGTTTTGAAGTCTCTGCACACATCTCTTCCTTCAGGTAGAGAGCAAACCTGCCAGGCGCTTCCCTTTCGAGGGGTTGGGGCCATTTCGTTTACACCGACATTGGGCTTTTCGGCTGTTGTTATCAGGAATGCTAGAAATCGTACGAGCGGCAGGATAGGAAGAAGTTCGGAGGAATCACTGATCTTGATAAAAGCAGCAGTACTACGCTTGTGACCAGTGTCTCTACAGCAATCATTGCCGCCATTACGACGACCAAGAAGACGACGCCCGAGACTGCTCACAAGTGCTGCTACCGCTGCTGCGCTGTCACCAGCACCACCCAGCGCCACGATGCAGCATCAGCACCAACACAAGCCCCAACAACACTACTACTGCGACTGCCACTGCCACTACGGCTGCCACTGAACACATATGCACTACCACCATCACTGCGTTGCTGTTGTCGATGATACTGCTTTATTACACGCTGGCACAAGCACGAGCCATCGCAAGAAAATGAGACGGTAGCAATAGAAACACTACCGCCAGATGCGAAGTTCTGGGTTACTTCGGCTGCAAACTTCAGCTATTGGTCGTGGGGTCTGGGACCCCATGGTGCGGTGATCCCAGCGGTGCGGACTCGGCATGGTTTGTCTCCGGTCTGGCTGTACGCCGGGAGCACTGCACGATCAAAGATTCAAAGATGTTCATACTTGACTTTTGTCGAATGCACAGCCTGAGCCTGAGCGGCACTGCCATGGCGGATGCAACACCTCGCCATTTCCTCCAACGCTAGACCTCGCTCTGCTGGCTGGCTCCACATCGGGAGCAGTTCCCGTTACTGATCGCCACATCCCAAACGCAGCCAACCAAAAATTAAAAAAAAGAAACTTCACTGCTGTCTTGTGGTATTGCACCTGCTGCGCAGGAACTCTTGCACGAACTGCCAGAGGAGCTGGAAGTTGCAGAGCAGCAGTTGTCGTCTTGGTGGTTTCGGGCTTCAGGACTTCAGAGCAGGTATCATCTCAAAACCACCACAAGTTTATCCGAAATTCCGAAAAAGTGCTGTGGTTTGGTTCCTGTTCGGTCGTTCGGGCCCGGCATCTGAATGAGATTCGGGCTACCTCAGCTAACGGAAACGTGTTTGGGGCTCGAGGTCCAAGTAGATCTCCGTGTTTCGATGCAGTGCCTCCAGTGTCTTACATCTTCTGCTTTGGGCTTGTACTGTTGGGCATCGGAGCTTCCGATTCCTCAGTTCGTCCGGCACTTCGTTCCGAAAGCCACCCACGGCCACAGTCTAGTCTCATGGTTGCCCCATCCCAACTTGGGAATGCCTTATTGAGGAGAAAACCCTAAGACCGAAACCGAAAGCCTCATTTCCCGACCCCAAGCCTCTGAATCTCTGGGTTTGTGCAGCTTTAGAGTAGGAGTTGGAGAAAGGCTTCTTCGGGAGTTTGAAAGCATCAGGATTCGGAAGGTTCAGGGCTCTTGCGGGCCCCGGTCTTTCGGAGATGTTGCCCGGAGGGGCAGATTCTAGAAGCTTCTCTGGGCTGGTGTGCATCTCGGGGATCGGGGTAACCCTGGGAGAGTAAGCGTTGGAGTTTGAATTCAGGCTTCTTGAGCTGTGTGGGGTTGATGGGGGCCGAGCTTCGCTTCACTCGAAACAAGGCTAGCATCCGGAAAAAGGAGACCACCACGGAGCAGGCTGACTTTGGGCGTCATCCTGTTGTATTGAAGCTTCACGGTGGGGCTTCGGACTCTTAATACTACTAAACACAAGAGTCATCATCGCAACAATAATGTTGGTAATTATGGCGATAGAAGTAGCAATAACAATAGTAGTAGCAATAATAATAGTTGATAGTTGTTGTAGTAGCAATAATAGTAATAATAACGATAATAGTCATAATAACAATACTAGTATCAAGTCAGGATAAGAGTAACAAGCGCCTAGTCGTATAACACTTATGACACAATACGGTGATTCGGGTCCAGGTCAATCAAGGAATCAAGGCATTTGCCTTTCAAGCGTCCTGAGACAAGCATGGCAACTCTCCATTCCACAATGAGGGGTTATGGTTCGTGCTTCCGAGATGTGCATCTGACTTCCGATGTCTGTTCAAGGTGTGTTCCGGAGACGAGTCAAGTTGTACGTCTATACAGAGACAGCAAGTCCTGCAGTTTTGCAATAGCCCAGGGCGCACTGAGTGCATTTGTCTTATGATCTGCAAGGCCTAAATACACTGCATCATGACTGAGATATCGGCGAGCTGAAGCACAGAAATCGGAGCTAGGACTGACAATAGACTATCACTTTGACCGCAGGCGCTGCTCAAGGACTCCGACCAGTTGGGCAAAACTGCCGCAACCACAACAGCACGGCTAGTAGCTCCGGCTCTCACGCCTTCCTCAACAAGTCCACAAGTCCCAAGCACTGTGGCCGCGACGACTGCAACGCTTCCCACACCTCTCACACCCACACAGTCTCCGAGCAAAGAGTCAAGCCGAACGAAGGCTAAGGCTGCTGAGGCCACGACTCCCACACCAGAACCAGAGGATCTGCCAGAAGTGCAGCCTCCTTCTTCGCCTGCACCCATTACATTCCCAGCCACCCCACCTCCCAGCACCCACCCTGCCACCACAACAGCAGCAACGCTTCCTCAGCTGCCAGCAAAGGAGGACGAGGTAAAGGAAGAAAAGGAGAAGCGGAAGGAGGAGGTACGGTATGAAGAAGACGAGGATGATGAGGAAGACAAAGAGGAGAAGAAGGCGGAGGAAAAGGTCAAGCAAAGGGTGGAGGAGGAAGAAGAGCAGGATGAGAAGGACGCGGAAGAGAAGGAGAGGGAGCGAGAGGAGGAAGAAGAGGAGGATGCCGAGGAATTGGCGATTACAGGAGTGGCTCAGAGCTTTCCAGTTGCTCTGCCAGCTCCTGCCGCCAAAGCGTCCTCCATGCAAGGAGCAGGGATTTGTCCGCCTTTCGGTTTAGGATTCTACTCAGTGTGGCAATGAACTTTCTGAAAAGAGGTTAGAGCCGACTAAACTGAGAAGTCAGTGCATGGAACCAGGCTCTTTGAATTGGTTAGGCAGCGGCGAGGATCTAGAATCTAGAACCTAGAGAAATCGGAGTATCGCGTCCCTGCAAACCCCAAGCATGAGCCTCAAGTCTTCGGCTTCGACCGTGCATCCGTGAATCCCTGTACCCTATAGTCTGAACATGTCTGAACCCTAAACCGCACAATGTAGGATTGATGGAAATGTCCCGATACGCCAAGCATCAATGCCCCTAAATTGCCTTATCTTGCAAGATTCGACCTGGAAGCTTTCTTTGGAACTCAGGAACGCAGTCGTCACGAAAGGCTTGTAGCCAAGTACCAGAGATCAAAGCAGGACAGCCTAAGGATTTGCGCTGTGGTTGTTGAAGGCTTCCGAAAAAGGCAGAGGCTTCAGGTTTCGGAAATTTGCTTGGGGATTGGGGTGTTAGGTGGGTAGTTGTCAAAATTATGGTCCCTTTTGGGGTACCCTAAGGTAATAGGTGCCGTATTATAATAAGGACCCAAAAAGGGACCATCATTTTGACAACCACCCAGATGTAGGATGCTGGAGGGCTTAGCGGCTCCAGGTTTCCGGAGGCTTCAATATGTCGGGGCTCGGAATGTTTTTGCAGAAAGCCGTTGCCTACTCGATGAAGCGAGGAATGATTCTGTTGTTTAGAGGTTTAGAGAAGACCTGATCAACAAGGGGCGGGCGTGCTGCTCACTGAGCTTCTTCGTCACACATGTCGGATCGAACCTCTTTCCTTTTCAGCCGGTGGCGGCTTTTGGTCAGCGAAGAGCGGTGGCTTGTCTCATGGCATTGCACATTGACACCGACTTGTCGTATCGCTGATGGATCGAAGGGCTTCGGGCTTGAGTTACATGCATATCACGCAGTGGTGTCGACGTCCCGGCGGCTTAAAGACATGAAGAGCATCGACTGCCAGTAGTTCTGGAGCCCAAAAACGGTCCCCACTCCCTTCAAAGTGGACCGAACCAAGGGATTTGGAAGCCGCCTAAGGTCAGGGATCTTCCACGCTTCGTTCTGTCTTAGGACCCCGTTCTCAAGCGGCTCTGGATGAGAGCCGACATGGTAGTTTCAGAAAGTACGGGGCCCTATCCTCAGACGGACCAGAAGTCCCAAAAATAATTCCCCTCACGCAAGGTACCCATTATTTCAGGAACCCAATGACATGGCGTGTTCACTTGGCAGGAGCCCGAGCCCTTTGTTTGGTATCGGGCGCCTCACTGCAACGAGTATGCGTCTTGGAGAGCAGAGTGGGGTCAGCCCAAGTGCGCTTGTTTTTGTTGACAGAGGGATTGCAAGTGAGGGTTTAGGGTTTAGTAAGGATGTACTTTCAAGAAGACTGCATCGCTATCTTGCGATCAAGTTCTTCGAACGATTTTTGGTGTATTGGGTCAGAGTTCGAGCAGGAGGCAGAAGTCTAAATTTGGTTTCGTCGAATGGGTGGGCAGCTGATGGTTGGGAGTCCTAGGAGTTCGACATTTGAGCTGACTGGTTCACGGCGCGATTAAGGCACCGGGGTCCGCGCATTGAGCTATGCTGCTATCGGAATCCCAGTTTACAATGCATTTCACTCAAAATCCAAGGGCCGAGACGATACAGACCACCACGGGGAACCCGCGGAGCCTTTGTAAAACTTCGCATTTTGAGAACAAAATGCCAGAACCAATGCTGACGCCCAGAGCTCTCACTCCAGAATCTGTTAGATCTGCATAGCTGCAAGCGGTTTCAGCGCGTTCTTCACATGCAGTTTTTTGCCAGCAGATCGCTTCAGCGCCATCGGGTTGGGTTGCCAGATCTTGTAGCGGTTCGGCTTGCTGTCTTGATACGTTTCGCAGCATGGTTGTCAGGGTTTTGAGGTGTCTACGAGGTTTCGGGATCTGGTGGTGCTAGGGCTCAGGAAGCTTTCGTGATCTGACTGCCACGGCGTCTCGGAGCCTTCGCATTTGCAAGTTCAGCGCAGCACCGTCACAGAGGAAGACTTCCTGAACAAATCGGCAAGTACTCGTACCCAAGAGAATGAGAGAAGTCCAATATCAATGCGGAGTAGAGCAGGATTCCACACCACGTCGGACCCGGCCCAGAAGCCCGAAAGCCCGGGAGACCTACACCCTAAACCCTCTCGGCTCTTGCACGTTTTTGTATTGTGTGCGTCGCAAGCCTGAAGACTGGATGGGAGAAGAAACCGTCTGAACTCAGCTTATAGCCAACCTGAGCGTTGAGGTCTGGAGGGTTTCCTCGTGTTCAGGATCCTACTATCTGGGACTCTACCTATGGTCTCCCTTGTAGTTCCTTTTGGGGGATACCCTTTAAGATCCTTATTATATATTTAGTTAAACCAAAAAAGGAACTACAATGGAGACAATAGGTAGGGTCCAGAATAGGATTACTGGGGTCCCTCAGCCAAGTATGGGTAAAAATCGAGAGCCCTTTACTTTAATCTCCCGGACCTCTGGACGCAGCCGAGTTGCTCCTGTTCGGCTTTGTCTTTGGGACATTCGCTTGCTGCGTGATATGGCTGAAACCAACTGGTGCGGAGTTTTGAGGTTGGTTTTGGAGCTGTTGTTTTGACGACTTGCGTTGGGGCGCTGATTGTTTGGCAACTTTAGGCAAGCCTGTTTGCGAAACACGGTTCTCGCATCCTGCCTTTTTCAAGGGTGCATGTTCAAGCTACTTCGGCCTGCATGCCCTATGCCTTTTCAAGCTGAAGTGTGCACAGGCCTGCCTTTGCTGTGTTCCCAAGCCTAGCTTCTTCGTGTCTACGCGACACCGGTCAGGGTCGAGTTTTGGGGTTTCAATCGTGTGAAGCTGTTCCCACTGGCTGCATAGGGCTTGCTGTTGGGATTCGATTGCTGTCGGAAGACTCTGGGGAATTATTCTCTGGCGGCTCACGAGGGCAGGTGAACAAGAACTCTTCAGAACTCAAGCTGCTGTGGTTGCAGTCTGTGTCATCGCACCTTAAAGTAAGCAACAACGCACGCAACAGAAGCAACTTTCGAGCCGCTCCAAGGCAGGGAACAGCCGACGCTAGTGCAAAGGTGCTGTACTTGAGAGTCGAGACCTTTTCCAAGTTTTAGGCTTCTACACCAAAAGACCAAATAACTTAAATGGGCTTGTAACTGTGTCCGGCATTTTGGGTTGGGGCTTTCGAGCACGGTCAGATTTCGACGCATATGCTCGGGCTGGAACTAGGGGCCACGCAGAGTTGAGATGTTCTTCGAGAAAATTCGGGTGGTAAGCAAGCAACTTCATTCTCGGTGCCTCAGCTCCATTTCCACATGGCAATCCAGGTAGTCTCAGGCAGAAGACCTTTGACCGACGACGAGGCATAGTCCACAGAGGTTTGGATGGTTGAAGTTGCATGTTGAAGTGTCCTTCTTTGGGGCATGCGGGTTTTGGTCGTTCATGCTTGTCGCCCCCGACCCTAAATCCTCACTATGAGCCATTTCCGGCTTGCTTGGTGCAACTTGTGGGTCTTCCAAAGCCCCTGCTGAAGCCAAGCCAAGGCCAAACCAAACCCAAACGAAGGTTCAAGGCCAGCAGACTTGTTAGCTGTGCATCGAGCTGCCCCCTTGCATTCATACAAAGCTGATGTTTCGCAATAGCACATGCTCTGCCATGTACGGGGCTCAACGGTCACCGGGTGGGATAGGCTGCGGTCTACTTAAGGATTCCAAGGCTTGCGAAAACGAATTTTCGACTTGCATGATTTCACTTGGAAGCAGTGCTGGCCTGCTGAAGCCCTGCAACGGTACAGATCTCCGTGTGTTATCGCTAAACAGGCCCTGATCCTCCAAGGCCTGTCAGCCAAATCTACTAGAGCTGAGGCCCGAAAGCATTGCAAAATTCCTACACAACAAGTAGGAATCGCATCAACGAAGCAGACAGGAAGCGGCATGCGAAGTGGCCTTCCTCCTCGGCGGCGACGACGTCGTTTGATGGTCTTCGAGCATCCTCCAGAGACTTGAGCACCCTAGACGGCTGCAACAAGTTCTGAGACAACCTTTCAAGGACTGTAAGGCACCTTGAAAAGAAGCTACAACACAAATACATCGAGAGACCCCGGACGCCTCGAAGTCATAGGCTGACGGACAAGAGTTTCACCACACGAGCACTCGTGCCATTTGGGGCTGAAGAAAGAGGGATGCCGTCTTTGTCACATTTCATCCCGTCCCTTACCTCGGCAAATCGTGGCCAGCCAGTACATGAAGGGATACGGTTCCCATAGTCCGTCCAAAAAAGTTCTGCTTCATGAACCAAACGGACACATAACCACCTTCTGGGCTCGAAAAGCCGGGAGCTATCAGCTCCCAAATGCGGGTGCATGGCCGACAAAGTGTTTGCCTCGGGGGGTTGCTACCGTTTGATGTGGAGTATGTGAGCTGAATCATCTGCGTGATGGGAGCTGTCGGACAACAATCGAGATTGCACTGTTTATCGGAAAGACTGCGGTGTTACACAATGCTCTCATGATCATTCTTGGTCCGAGGGGCTGCAGGCCTGGAAGCGCATAGTTTCGAATAGGTAAGCCTGATTTGGAGTAGGAAAGGCTCCAATAAAGACTGTAATGGAAAGTACATGCAGATTGGAAGGCGTTTGGCGCTTGCACACTCAGGACGAGTTGGGAAGTGTCGGAAACTACCACGGCGTAAATTTGGGTTCGAATTAGGAGGTTCAGACAGCTACAGGACCCAATACAGACCCTACATGATAAATGTGGATCCTCGTGAGAATTGTACTGCTTGGCTGGTGAAATCCCGAAAAACCGAAGAGCTTCAGCCCCCGGGCTATGTTCCAACCTCAGGACCGAACGGTCATGCAGAAAAAGGCTTGGAAATCGCCAATCCGAAGCCTGATAGGATATTTGAAACCAGACGTTTGAAACCCAAAACGGTACCTTAGCGCATCCCAATTATAGCCCTATTGAGAACATCTGCTGACCTACTTACTAA